TAGAAACGGCACAAAACTCCAAGGCTGCTACTTACTACTTCTTACTTTCTTCCCCATTCTGAAGCTTTGTTCAGCAACTTCAGAGAGACATCTTTAGGCATGTAGAAATGTTCAGAGCGCTGAGTTGCTATCAAGCAAATGGCTAATTAGGTAACGATAACAAGCATTTTAGTTGTGTCTAATAAAGAGGCTTGTGAATGTGTTTCACACATATTGTAACTTTGCTTAAATTGTTCAACTTTTGATTCAATTCTGTTTTATTCATACAGTGCCAAATTACAGTTACCTGTATTGTAAGGTAAAGCCCCCACAATAATGGAGGGAAAACTCCAACAATGAGACGACCGCATATCAGCAAGCGCTTGGCAACAGTGGGAAGGAAAAACTGGCTTTTAAACAGGATGAAAGCTCCAGCAGAACCAGGCTCAGGGAGGGGTAGCTGTCTGGTTGGAGGTGACAGGAGATAACGATGGTAAAATAAACTAGAATCGGGCAGCTAGCTTACCTACAGCACTATGAACTATATGATGCCAGATGCCATGAGAATCTCTGCCTTTAGAGATGTTAGTGTTTACTCCTTTTTTCTTTTTGCAAAGCCACTCTAGTTGTTTCTTCTGATCTTTATGCAAAGCTAAGCTAACCTGATTATAGAGGAGGAACACAATAGTTTTGAGTTTTGTGAAGAAAAAGTTTATTTCCTATAATGTGAAAATTTCATTTAAATAAAATCTACATGCAGTTTTAACTTCTCTTCATATTGGTTGTATTGTTTTATTTATTTATTTTTTACTTCTGTTGACATTGATAATTTAGGGTTTTAGACTTCTTGGTCATACACGTCAGGTAAAGACGGCATCATTTGCCACATCCGTACATCTTCTAAATGGGCACCAAACTGTACTGTCACTCTGCCTTTCCATTTTATGTATATTAGCTTACCAGTCTAGATCTCTAAGGTAGAGTTTCTATAAATGCCACTGATATCAACCTGTCTCATGATTCCAGCTCTAATTTTCTTCTACATTTCCTCCTCTTGTCTTTGTGTCTGATGCTCTCCCATATATCATTCTCTACCCGCTTTCCTTTCTTTCCTGTCTTTGCTTATTTTCCCTGCACTCCTCTTCTTAGGCATTGCTCATTTCTTCCCACCTCCTTATATTCATGCTAGCTCATTGGCATGCCAGCTTGTCATCTGCATGCTTTTGAACTGTTGCTATCTACCCTCCATCCACAGTCACGCCGCCCTTCTTTTTTCTTTCCATGACTGCCGAAAATAACGAATAAGAAACACAATTCATATTTAAGAGGTGCATTTTAGGCTTAGGTGAATTTTATCCTGATTCTGTACTTTAAGTCATATCGCATTAAAAAGCAGAATGCATCATGCTTTGTAGCTACATTAATGCCTTGTAGGTTTTTGAGCAGTGTTGAGAAATGTTCCATTTACTTAATAGAAAACACAGAGTAGATGGGAAAAATAGCTTTTGACATCCAGAAGTGTAAACTGATGTGTTCACTGCAGCTGCTTAGAAATGCCAGGCTTGACGTCATGTACAGTAGATGACCTTGGCACGATGACGTGGTGCATTTAAATGAGCTCTTAAAGACTTTTCGTTGTTTTGTCTTAGATAAAGTCTTACAGTGATGCTGCTCACACTACTTGGTGTTCAGTTTTTCTGTTTGCAATGACCAGGCAGTCTTAGGCCCTTAGCTGAGAGACTAGTTGACGACCCCACTAGGGAAAAGTGGTTGCTGGAGGTTGCAAGGTAAATTGGTTGCAAAGCATTGTACAGTGCTGCACCAAAAATTTCTTTGTGATTGCCTTTTTGCCATTCGCAGATTCCCACAGTTGTCCATAGCTTGCATGGAAAATGCTGACTTGTTTACAACACTCACCAAGTGCTTGCTGAGTCGTAATGAAACTATGAAAAGTGTAAAAATGGAGAAAAGTCAGCCATTAAGATGCCTCTGTTTCGGTATTGCATCACCCTCTTTCAAGTTTCACTCTCTCTGTGGTTAGTTAGCAGGATTTTGCAGTTTACAATTAGACCTCTCTCATGGATACTATGCAAATCTGCTTGTGGGGATGGTTTTGTTTGTTTGTATCCATTGTTTGAGCTACAGAGGCTGAAGCATATTCATGTTTCTATGTTCTTTCTGATGTGTTCAAGTGGCAACGGGTGGACTCCAGGAAATTCAAGGTCTGTCTCGTAGTGCAGCGTAAAGCAAAAAATGTGAATGCTTTGTAAATAAGAGATTTCAGGTTTTGATCTGAGCACATCTGTAACAAACAAATATATAAACACATGCTTTTATTTTGTCACTGAAATTTTCAACATGCGGTGCGCTAAAAGCAAAATTGCCATAGTTACGGGAAATCTGCATTGTAACTTACGGCATAACTGCAAACCCATCTGAACCCTACGCCGTAACCCGGCATGCACTTCACGAAAAATGTAGCTACACGGGTTGGCGCAGCCCACAAGTATCGTGATTGGCCAGTTCAGCTCCATCAAGTTTTTGAAGTTTTAGAAAGTAACAATCATCATCTCAGGACAATGAATAATCATCATAGCAGCAACATAAGGAGTCACAAATGTAACAAATTCTTGGAGGGAGATTGCAGAAACTGTCAGACTGGATGTGAGGGAAGGCACAGAGGAGTAATATGTTTACACCCGTAAACAACTGACCACCACAAAGAGTGGAGACCCAGGTGGGGAAAAGTCCCAGCAATTCATTTTTTTCTATCAGCATGTAAAACACAGGGACTCATCCACAAGATGATTAACATGTAACACACATAAATGAGATCGGCCACTTACGTAGGTTATGTCATGGGTTCTACAAAGATTCATCCTTGAAGCTGTTTCAATTTTTATGATTTTTTTTTTTTTTAAGTGTGGAGTACAAGTTTGAGAGATTCATACAATCGTTTCATCTCTCTCTCTCTATTTCTGTCTCCCTCTCTCCCTGCTGTTCCTCCTCCCGCCCACCACCCCTCCCCCGTCTCTTTCAGGCCAAGTCATGTATCTGCCACATGTGCGGCGCCCACCTCAACAGACTCCACTCCTGCCTCTACTGCGTTTTCTTCGCCTGCTTTGCCAAAAAACACATCCACGAACATGCCAAGAGCAAAAGGCATAACCTAGGTATGACACACACAAACTCACGGTCCCATACTAAGCTTCCTCATTGTAACAAACATGGACGATATGCACACCCCAGCACAACACCATCGGGGCTAATTATACAGCCAGCGGCTAATGGAGGTATAGGCTAGTGCCACTGCATTGTAAACACCATGCATTTGTGTGTTTGAGACTATGTTTATAAGCAGCTTTGGCCTTCTTATATTACTTATATTAATGCTTTTATTTCAGCTGTGACGCATCTGTGGTTTTTGTGTGGCATTCGGAGCCACAGGGGTGTGAGCTGTTACGCAAGCGAGTGCAACATAAATGCAATACTGCCTAAAAGACTTCATCTCAAGGGGCTTTGGAAAGTCACCTGTGTATTTTGGCCTCACGCAGCCTATTAGAGGGAAAGCATGCAGTATTGAACTTGCTAATGAATGGGCACTGAGGTCTGTCTTGGTGGCTGATTTAAAATTAAGCACATTTCCATTTTATTGGGTACACCTCCCTGCTCTCCAAAGCCTCTCTCAAAATCCCTGCAATCATTCAGCGGTGTGGGTATTTATAAGCAAGAACAATGAGATCTCTCTCAGCCTTGTTGTAGACAGGATTAATATTGCAGGTCAGTGAAGGTAACACAAAATATCACGAGCCATTGTTTTCAGTGATAATCTGTATATTTTTCTCCTTTTAAAATGACTGAGCAGGCTTTTATTTTGAGGAGCCAAAGCAAGCGCGCTGTATTTCTCACCACAGCTCGCACGGAGGCTGCTTAGTTGGCCTGGGCACACACAGTAAGAAAACGGGAAATTGTTGTATTTCAGTTCAATGAGTTATATATTTACAGGAAACAGACGCGATCTGGACAGCTCCAGATCTGAAGAAAGACGTGGGTGTTTGGTGAACAGTTGGTTGTTTTCGCCCAGTGCTTCGACTCCCACTGGGGAACACAGCCTGTGATAATCAAAACATTGCTCAAAAATTTAGCAATTTGGTCAATGATATTGCCCAAACTGTCAATATCAATATATTGAGAAAGCTGCTGGTAGTACCTGAACTCATATACTCAGATAGTATAAACAGCTGCTAAAGAATTCTGCTGTGTGCAGAAATCGCTGCTATTCACATCTAATTGGGTGAAAAATAAAAAGAAACACCACTGAGTACACTATCCTTCCTCCTGAACTATGTGTCTTGCAGCAGGCCTGAGACTTTCTGTGAAAGTTTGATATGTTCTGAAACTCCATTGGTGCTTGAGTTAAGTGGCGATTGGGGCCCTGTTCCAGAAATCAGATTTAACAAACTCTGAGTTCCAGAAAGGATGATCAGAGTTTGTTTAGTCACTCAGAGTAATGAAAGAACGGCATCGTCGATGGAGCTCTGATACCAAGAGTCACCATGGCAATGGGTAACTAACGATCAGAGCCTTCATTTAAACCCAGTGGACTGAGGAATATCATGCGAGCGCCGACTGTGACATTTATCTAAAAATGATAATAAGAAAGGGGAAAACGTGCCTTCCCCAGTTAAATAATAAACCCCAAGTTATTAAACCCAGAAACATTTACACCACATGTTACTGATTCAGTCTATTTCTACGTTGATTCTTCACCAGCTCTCTGACACTCACAAACTCGCAGACTCCCACGAGGGTCCGTCATCTGTTAGAACAAGTGCATGAAGGCTAGACGTCATGTTGAGCCTTTTTTGTGCACCATAACCCTGCACACAGGGTTCATAGCATTGTGATGCTGTTTACTGGGTTACACAGGGGTGTAATATAACTTATTCAGGACTCATGTATTTGAATTTGGGCTTAATGAAGTTGTTTCTAAAGCAAATGACAAATGAGAAGTTTGAGTGATCAGAAGTGATTCTGTACTCTATGGAAGTAGTGATCTCAGCTAGTGACAAGTACATGCTCCATAAAAACATCACAAAAGACTGAAACACAGTGCATTATGTACACATTCACACTGAGCATGCTAGCACTGGACCTGGTGTTAGCAGTGTACTATTAAAGCTGAGGGAGTGTAACTTTCATCGCAGGTGTGCAGATTTTTTTGTAAGTTGTGTCATCATGAGTATTGAACAGTTGTGTTGCACAAGGAAGGTTGGTGTTTTTTCAAATGGTTACTTGACTAGCACAGCAGTGCAACCACATCATCGGGATCATAGTTCCTGAATATCCTTAACAAGTCTTAAAAGCACTGGGTGCTGTCATCTAAAAAGACGCTATTCATTGTTATGAAAATGTCTTTGATCATTTTATCAAGAGTGTTAAAATGAGCTTGGAAAGCAGCGTAATGTCTGCTGTCATTGTTCATGTTAGAATCAGGATAATTGCTGACATCCATCCTTTTTATTCTGCTTATCCAACTCATGCAAATTCCACAGAGAGAGACCTCAGTAACCAGTGGATTCAAACCCAAGACCTTCACTGTGCTGCCCATAATTGTTAACATCAGTTCAAAACAACAGAAAATAACTGCTCATATCTAGTTTTGTAGCTAGATGCTCACAGCAGACATGCTGCCTACTAGGTGGTAGATTAGCAGATGTGGATTGTTAGCATCCAAATTTGTTTAAATGGCTCAACCAATACCAAATAGTTTGGCTAAGAAAAGTCTTAAAACATAACCTGCCTCAAGCTGTAGGATCCAAGATGCCTCCTGCTAGTTTTACTGGTTAAATAATGTTTTTTCTAGACTGGAAATCCATCTTGATCTGCTGCTCTCTGACACTTACACAGTTGACATCAATTAATCGTCTCACTCCAGCAAAAATAGGCTGTGCTAAATGACAAAACTATGGAGGAGCACAAAGCTTTGAGACTCGGGATTATTGTGTTGCTAGAGTCGATCACACACACATTTGTACAACCTTTTTATTGCCTTTGATATTACCGAAAGCATTAAAAAAGGGGCAACATTTAATTACACTGTAAACGGCGTATTATCTGCACCAAAAGGCATCATCCTGTTAGTGTGAAAGCGGCGACGCCAGCTCGACACCCAGTGTCTTTCATTTTTTATTCTCCACATAATGGAATTACGGCTGTTTTGAGCTGCAAGTGCGTTACACTGCAGCGTTGTGCAGGAGAGCGCCGCCGTAGCAGAGGCACCGAGGGTGTCGCTGACAAAAGGCTGGATTTGGCAGATGTTGGAGAATCTGTGCTCTGGTTTTTATCAAGCCTGCTTTGCTTTATCACTTGGCTCAGGAAGACCCCCTGCGGGGGGGGGTGTCTGTGTGTGTGTGTGTGTGTGTGTGTGTGTGTGTGTGTGAGTGACGCTCTCAGCAGGCTGATGAGGAGGTAATTAAGTCGTTTTTAATACACCCTGTGGAATTAGCCTCCATTAAACCGGCCCCTCCTCCTCACCCTCCTCCTTTCTGTTCCACCTCCTGTTTTGCCTTTGCATCTCTTTCATCTGCTCATTTTACGGACGTCCACCGTTCTCTTGCCTCCTCATGTCGGACTCCTCCTGCTCTCTCACCACTGTCCTCTTCTCTTTCTGCCCTCTTCTTGTTCCCATGGTTACCCGATGACCCTTTTGATATTCCGAATTGTTCAAGGATTTCATTTAATTTCACTTGGCACCGTTACAACCCCACCCCCCTTCAGTCTGTCAAATTTTCTTCCTTCACTTTTATATTTGCCTTTGCTTTTCCTCACCTCCCTCCATTCTTTCCTCTGTACCTGCAGAAGATGACAGCCAAGAGAGAGGCCGTCAGGCAGGTTGTTATGGCAACAGCAAACAGGTTGCCGCAGGGTACAGAGCAGGTGAGGAGAGAGAGGTAAGACGGAGTGGAAGCACTGTTTGGGCCGTGAGTGAGCATTTAAGTGAGTCTGCGATGGTGGGAAATTACCCAGAAAGGCGGCGTCCTCACCTTTTGACTTCCCATTGCTCTCTCTATCGTTTCTGGCTGCTGTGAACACATGGCTGATCTGTCAGCAGATGAACCCTGCTGCCTGCCGTCGCAGCGTGACATAAATAGAATAAAACTGAGAGGTGAAGCAGTTAGCCTTTTACACAGTTTGCAGCAACACGCAACCCTTTACAGTCTCGTGAGTGTCCCTGCATTTGAATAAAATGCCGTCTTCTTCTTTTCTTTGTGTCTGTCCAGCTATCGACCTGCTGTACGGGGGAATTTACTGCTTTATGTGCCAAGACTACATTTACGACAAAGAGATGGAACAGATCGCCAAAGAGGAACAAAGGAAGGCCTGGAAGATGCAAGGTACAGCAACTTTAAACAACGCACCAAGTGACTTTGACCTCAGTGGACATTTCTACACCAGAGCTCACCAAGCAATGGCACTTCTGTGCTCAATCACTGCATTTTGAGATGGCAGCACATATGTAATATTAAAATCCACACTGCGCTGCAAATTCTTTAAACTCCTGGTCTTCATTATCCGGCTTATTAACCTGGTTAGATATAAATTAGCATTTTGCAGTTAAAAGTTTTTAGAGAGTTCAGTTTTGATGTGCTAATATTCATATGAATGATAATGCTGTATTGCAACATTGTTTCTAATCCTCTGTAAATGTGGATTTTTATAGAGCAGCCGCAGTGGGTTCATGCATATGTAGCAGTGGTCAAATGTGTTTATGGCAGCCCTCTAAGCTTGAACAGAAAGATTCAAGTCTTCAACCTTTAACGGCAAGTGTATTTTGTGAGTGTTTGAGAATTAATCAGTGTGATTTTTATTTATTTTCCCCCCCGAAAAACCCAAATAGACAACACAAAAATGCAGAAAGTAGCAAAAATGATAGAAATTTTAACTGATATATGCAAATGCATATTTAATGTCTTTCTTTCTCATTTGTAAGAAGCTTCAGTAACCACGCCAGTTTCAAAATTATTATTTCATGGTTCAGGCTACACAGGTTTGTGTGTCCGTGTAAATGTGTTCCAGGTATCGGGGAAAAGTACTCGACGTGGGAGCCGACGAAGAGGGAGCTGGAGCTGCTGCGTCACAACCCCAAAAGAAGGAGGATCACCTCCAACTGTACAATTGGTTAGTCTCTCTCTCTCTCTCTCACACACGCACATTGACATCACATCAAAGATGAAGCAACACCATCATCCATCATGTTTTCACACGTACTCTGCAGCCCGGATCTTGTGAGAATGTCTGACACACTTTGGACATCAGCCGCTCTTTAACCTGCCAGCTTCTTACTGCAAAGCCTGTGTGATGGCAGCTGGCCCGTGTGCTAATTGCAGAGCTAACTTTCTGCTTTACCCATTCCTTTAATAATATGAAAAGCTACCAGTCACAGGCACAGGGTGATGCAGAGAGGAGATATTATTTGTTGTAGTGATGATGAATATTGGAGTGAGGCAGTGGTGGGACCTTCAGTATGTCGGAGTGAGGAGAGCTGGCATACGTTTAACACCTTGCAGCAGCCTGCAGGGACGTGCTCCAGCGCCAGCAACATCCCTGGCTCTGTCTAAGACGAGGGGAATTACAGGGCTGGCTGCTCATCCATGAAAAACACTACAGCCTTCTTTCTTTTCTGCTTCCTGTCTTTCCTTCCACCTTTTCTCCTTCCTCCTCCTTTCTCTCTCTCTCTCCCACCTCTTTTGTTTTTTTTAATATATGTGGTTGGTTCTGCTTTAATCAGGCAATGGTTTCCCCTGTATGCAGTCCACTAGTGCCTTGGAGACATTGGTGTGTGTGTGTGTGTGTGTGTGTGTGTGTGTGTGTGTGTGTGTGTGTGTGTGTGTGTGTGTGTGTGTGTGTGTATAACAGCATTGCAGCCTAGCTGCCACACTGCAGCAGCCACGAAGCCTCTTTTTCTGTTTATCCTGTCCACACACTTTTTGTTTCCTTGAACTGCATTTATGTCTGTTTTCCTTTGCTGTCCCTCTTTCACTTGCAGGCCTGCGCGGGCTGATAAATCTGGGCAACACGTGTTTTATGAACTGCATCGTCCAGGCACTGACACACACCCCACTGCTGCGAGACTTCTTCCTCTCGGACCGGCACAAATGCGAGATGCAGAGCAACTCCTGCTTGGTGTGCGAGATGTCGCAACTGTTCCAGGAGGTACTGCGTCTTTGATTTTATTTTAGTAGTTTAGAGAGGACAAGGCGATGATTCAGAAAGTGTCATTTGAAAACACAAACTCCTCCCACCCCCTTACCGCAGTTCTACTCAGGCCACCGCTCACCTCACATCCCGTTCCGCCTCCTCCACCTCGTGTGGACCCACGCCCGTCACCTGGCTGGCTACGAGCAGCAGGATGCCCACGAGTTCCTCATCGCAGCGCTGGACGTCCTGCACAGACACTGCAAAGGTCAGACGCACAGAGACGATATCATAAACAAGCTGAGACGACCATCAAAGCTGAGACATGTGACTTTCAGTCAGACATGTTTGACACGGAGAGTTAAGAGGCTGAAAACACATGAGAGGCAGTATTGATTCTTTTGGATCTCTTATCAGTTTATAAGCACAGTGGGGATTTGTGAAGTTACACAGTAAGGCTTTTAGTGACAGTGTGCTTTAATGTTTCTGGTGTGTGTGTGTGCGTGTGTGTGTGCGTGTGTGCGTGTGTGTGCGTGTGTTTTCTTCGTGTCCCTACAGATGACAATGGGAAGAAGGCAAACAACCCGAACCACTGTAACTGCATCATTGACCAAATCTTCACAGGGGGCCTGCAGTCTGACGTCACCTGTCAAGCCTGCCAGTAAGTGTGTGTGTGTCTGTGAGAATGTAAGTTTGTGTGCAGGGAAAAAAACAACTTAAAACTCTACTGATGCCTCACTAGAGTCTGTATAAAGAGATTAAAGTGTACAGTTCCATCATGAAGACACAAAACAGCCACCAAACAGGCCTCACTTGTCTGCATGAGAATGTCTAATGGCCTGCCTCGAGGTGACCCTCCTCCCCCTCCCTCCCTAATGCCTCCGTTCTCCTCTATCATTCACATACTGCACCATCAATCACACACTTGGTGAGCTGCTACACTGCAGCAACAGGAACAGCCTTTCATGGCATGTAAAGTTGATCTCTAGCTCCACCTGGTGGTTTGTGGAGGCTGTTGAAGCTCTGAGTGGACTAGCCCGCCTTTTTTATTTATTTATTTTTTAAACTGATCTGTTATGTGATTAGCTCCTATTTCCATATAAGAGATATTTTCACACACTGGGGCATTTTTGCCTTTATTTGGCGTGGCTGAAGTGACGAGTAGACGGGAGAGAGCAGGGGACACGCTGCAGAGGCCACGGGTCAGACTTGAACCCAGGCAGCGGCATTTCTGGGTCACTGCACTAAGTGTAGCAGTTTGTTTGTTACTGTCAGAAGAAGTTTTAAGCTTATTGTCAAGTCATGCTTAGCTGAGGAACACAGCTGGTGCCTCTCCAGTGGAAAAAAGAAATCAGCAGTAAATACAGTGAGCCACAATTTTGTGATTCCATCCATCCGTTTTCTTCCACTTATCTGGGGCCGGGTCACAGAGGCAGCTGCCTGAGCAGAGAATGCCTAACCTCCCTGCAGCTTATCCAGGAGAACACCTGGGTTTTTCCAGGTGGGCTGGTGTAGTTGTAATCACTCCTGGGTCTGCCCTGTGTCCCCTGTAGTGCATGCCCAGGACACCTCACCCAGGAGGCATCCTTGCAAGATGTCTAAACCACCTTAACTGGCTCCTTTAGATGTTGTAAGTGGCAGTTCTACTCCAGACATCTCCAGTCTGTCTGTCAGTCTCCTGCTTCCCTCTCCCCATTACTCGTGAACAAGACCTTGAGATACCTAATCGCCTCCGCATGGGGCGCAACTTACCCCTGACCCGGAGTGGCCACGAGATCCTTTTCCAGCTTAGGACTATGGCCTCAGACTTGAAGTTGCTGATTCTCATTCCCACTGCTTCCCACTCCAGTGTGAGCTGGCCATCACCTGACCAAGTCAACAGGACCACATCTGAAAAGATCAGAGATGAGATCCTGCAGCCACTAAAGTGGAAGCCTTTTGCCATTTTAAATCCATCCCTATAAAATTTGACTAACTAAAAGATGCTGTAGAGGAATGCGGTCCTCTTTTCTTTTTGTGGCAGCTCTGGAGAAAGTCAGAAATTTCTGCTTTGACCAACCATAACCAGACTGTTGCCAGTCAGCGACACTATTCAGAGCTTTCATCTTCATGGTGAGGAAGACTGCTGGATTAGGCTAGAGTGCAGCCATCGAATTTGATTAAAGCTCATGTCAGAACCAGTGACATGGCTTTGAAAGAGCCCTTGTTCTGATGACACTGGCGGCTTTGTGGAGATTCATGGCACCAGGAAGTGGAATTATTAGAGCAAAGAGATGGAGCTAAATTTGACAGAAAGCCGGCGCTGCAGTGATACATCTTGTAATTGTGCTATGGCCCTTGGCTTAACAAGAACACTATGCATTACAGAGAAAGTAGGCAGAACAATAGATGATTTAGTGGAGCTGTTAGAGAGATAACGGGGGTGCAGTTTGGAAAATGGATATTAACTGAGCAGTGTTTGTGTTTGTGTTGCAGCTCTGAGCAACAAACTGCTGCGTTATAATCCAGCTGTTCCAAATGACTGAAGATACAAACACAGTCACAAATATACCACGAACCAGTAGGATCTGCTTTATGTCCTTAAGAATGAACACACAGTGTTACCAATTAATGTTCAGCTGCAAAAAACTGATAAATAGACCACCAGTGGAATTCTTTGGCTTTCATTTGTTTGAATGTTGCTTTATTTTTATCTTAAATTCACCTCCTTTCAACACAGTGGTGTACTTTTTCCAGTCAACTGTTTTTTTTTTTTTAAACTGCATATTTACACATAAATAGTGTTCATGTGAGTTAAAGCCTTTTTTAAAATTCATAACCCTTTTCTCTGTGTGATGTCAGTAAGAACAGATAACCTTAATATGGTTGTCAGTAACAGTGGCTCCGCCCACCTGCTGTTTGCACCTCCTGTATTTTTGCAAGAAAATAAATGATCCTTTAAAGCAAACTGTGAAAAAAATGAGTTGACATGAAGTGATAATGAGCTTGTGCTGATGTTTCTAATAAAGAAGGGGAAGAAAGTGAGATTCTGGGTTCATCCCGTTCTCATAGCTGGTCATAAAATGACTCGGAGGTAAAATGGTTCTGTTTTACCATTTCTGGATCATTGTACATTGGGTATGATAATGATTATTTTGAGCTGTGACTTCTCAAGAGTAACACTTGACCGTGTCACGTGACATCCTGGCATCTGTTTGGTTCCCAGTGGTGTTTCAACAACTATAGACCCATTTTGGGACATCAGCCTGGACCTGCCAGGCTCTTCCACACCATTCTGGCCCCTCAGCCCCGGAGGAGATGGATCAGCACTTAACGGAGAGAGTCACACCACTGGAGCCACAGCACTGACGGACTGTCTGCGCAGGTAACTCGCATATGAAGAATAGATCAGAGAGACATGATCTGAAACGTCAGGATTGAGCTGTAGTCATCAGCATTAAAAGATAAACAGGTGGGGAGTTTTTGTCTGTTTTGTGGTTGTAAAATGAAAAGAATAATTTCAGCGTTTTAATCAGAACAATCCTACATGCTCTGCAAACTCAGAGACCCACCCTTTAGCCTCATCCCAGAATCATCATGAGCGTCACATAAAACTGTTCCTACCCTTCCTGACAGAGGAAGCAGCAGCACAAGTCCCTGGTACCAAATCTCACCCTCTGTTGTCCAGGTTCACCAGACCAGAACACCTCGGGAGCAGCGCAAAGATCAAGTGCAGCGGCTGCCATAGTTACCAGGAGTCTACCAAGCAACTGACGATGAAGAAGCTGCCCATCGTGGCGTGCTTTCACCTCAAAGTAAGAGAGGTTACATTTGACGGCTAATGAAGGGGATATTTATTACCTGTTCTAACTCGTGGATATGTGCGTGTGCTCGCAGAGGTTTGAGCATTCGGCCAAACTGCGGCGGAAGATCACTACTTATGTCTCCTTTCCTCTGGAGCTGGACATGACCCCGTTCATGGCCTCTAGGTGAGCACAATCTAAAAGAAGGGTGGAAGCTGTCAAAGAAAACCCAGTAAGGTGCATAAAAACTAGAAGCTGCTGTGTGCATGCTAGGCCTCAATCACAGTAACAACTGTGTTTATATGGACTTGTGTGCGTCCAGTGTCTTTTCTTTTTTTAAAAATAGATTTTTGTCATAAACTGATTTTTGGCATTAATGAGCACAACCGTAAAGACTGATCATTGCAGCAGAGTCTGGATGACGCCTGCATTTCCTAACTCATCAGTCAGCTGGAAAAATATGGTGGCCGTGTTTTATTTCAGAGTACATTACTATGTGCTCATATCTAAATATGTTTACATCCTTACTGTGCAAACGTGTATGTGTACTGTATATAACACTCAAAAAAATGAAAAGAACACTTTGAAAACACATCAGATCTCATTGTGGGGGAAAAAATCATGCTCGATATCTGTACTGGTGTGTGTGCTGGGAACCAAAGGATACCACATCACTTGATGGAAATGAAAATTATCAACCTACAATGGGGTGAATTCAAAGAAACCCCCAAAATCAGGAGGAACCCAGGACCCACTGTACCAGGGTAGGGTCTGAGAGTGGATCCAAGGATTTCATCCTGATACCTAATATCAGGGTGTCTTTGCCTAGTCTTTAGAGATCTGTGAGTCCTTTCATGGATGTCCCTCCCCAGACACCACAGATCCATCACCAAACCGTTACAGGCAGCATAATGTTCTCCATGGCTTCTCCATACTCTTTCACGTCTGTAACGTGTTCAGAGGGAACCTGCTCTCATCTGTGAAAAGCACAGAGCATCAGTGGTGGATCTGCCAGTTTTGGTATTATGAGGCAAATGCCAGTCAGGATCCACAGTGCCAGGCAGTCGGGAACTCAGGCCACCTTCATGAAGTCTGTTTGGTCAGAGACATTCACACCAGTGTCCTGCTGGAGCTCTGGCAGGTGCTCATCCTGTTCCTCCTTCCACAAAAGGAGCAGATACCAGACTTGCTAATGGGTTAAGGACCTTCTACAGCAGTTTCCCAACCACTGTGTGCCATTAGAAATGATCAGGTGTGCCGTGGAAGATTATCTGGTTCCACCTGATTAGTAGTCTCAGCGGCTTGAGTAACGAGCAGAACGATTACATTCTCTTCTATTCTCTTCCACTTCGTACTCTAAGTTGCCAACTGCCAGTAAAATAGAAGAAGTTACATAATAGTCATGCTGACCTCTGTCCTGGAGAAAACTTTTTTGACATTAGACAAAAATGTGAAATATGTGCCGTGGTTCCAAAAGGTTGGGAAACGCTGCTCTACAGCACTGTCGAGCTCTCCTACAGTAACTGCCTGCTTCCTGGAATCTCCTCCATGCTCCTGAGACTGTGCCGGAAGACACCGCAAACCTTCTGGCAACAGCACATATTGATGTTTAAATACCTGTGCAACCTGTTTAGGGTCCAGGTATCGCCTCGTGCTCTCAATAGTGACACTGATCCGAGCCAAAACTAGTGGGGGGAAAAAACAAGCCAGAAAAAATGTGAGAGGCCTGTAGAACTATTTTGTTTTGGGGACTCAAGTGGATCTTTCATTAATTTTATTAACAACAAAGCAGCTGACACTGAATAACAATGTCCTCTGCTACTTAACTGACCAGATATTTCACTGGCTTGATGCTATAATCTGATCGAAAAGTGTTCTTTTCATTTCTTTGAGCAGTCACAGTCGCTTTTGCAGTGAATGTTAATTTGTGTAATACATCCGAGGAAACTATTCTGCTTGAAAGAACAACAGTTGGTATGTCGTTACTGAGTCTCTGCCGCGTGTTTCAGTAAAGAAAGCCGGATGAATGGGCAGTACCAGCAGACCGTGGATCCCTTCAACAACGACAACAAGTAAGCAAAGCGACACGTTTGCAGCATCGATTCCACAATAATCCAAAAGGACCAAACGTATATTCTCATCCTTCTGTCACCTGACACAGTGAGCCTCGTGGAAACACACCTGACAGGTGCAGCAGGGCTTCATGAAGCGCATGTTTATAGAAATGTGCTGTTTTTAATCATCACAAACTGTCTGCTTGACTGCTTCTTCTTGTCACTGGTCTCACAGCTACATTCATTTCACTGGGTAGAATCCACTACCTCATTTGTTTGCATGGAAATTAGCCCAACAAAGTAGGAATTATGAATTTGCAAAACTACCTGTCATAACAGCTAAGCTGATTATCTGTTAGCTTCCAGTGTCTGGAAAAGCCATTTACAATGCTGCAGTATAATAACAGTCCTTGTACAAAAACATGGTGAACTGGGAACAATAACTTTTAGTGATCCAGGCACAACATACTGAATCAATAATTGTATAATGTCCCAGTAAACAGGAAGAGCATTACCTCCAGTGAATGATCAAAATATTGGGATAGTCGAGGAAAATTGGTAATGTGGTAATCAGCAGCTACAGAACGACACGCTGATGCTGCTGCTGTCCTAAAAAACACCACAGGCAGGCTTCAGCTTTCTCCCAGCCAGTTATAAGTGAAACCTGAATTTTTTTTGAACAACAGGAAAAGGAAGCTTGATGAATATTGAGAGCACATTTTTAATCACGTGAGAGCGAGATGAATTTGTTTGTGCAGTCACTGTTGTAGTCCTGGCTAAACTCACAAAACAGCTGAAGAAAATGGTGTGTAGGAAGGAATAATAATAATAATAAATTTTATTTATGAGCGCCTTTCAAGTCACCCAAGGACACTTTACAATAGGATAAAACACTTAGTAAAACAATGGCAGAATAAGAACAATAAAATAAAAGCACAAGATAAAATAAACAAACAGTGGATTCACAGTGAATATGCAGATTTGAACAGATGAGTTTTGAGTTGGGATTTAAACTGGGGGAGAGAACCAATATTTCTTATTTCAGGGGGCAGAGAGTTCCACAGCCTGGGAGCAGAGCAGGAAGTCATTATGAACTGAGTAAAAGCCAAACTGCAGCTTGTTCTGCTCTCTTCCTGTCGCAGGTACAGCTTGTTTGCAGTGGTGAACCACCAGGGGACACTAGAGAGCGGTCATTACACCACTTTCATCCGACAGCACAAGGACCAGTGGTTCAAATGTGACGATGCAATTATCACCAAGGCTAGCATCAAGGATGTCCTGGATAGTGAAGGGTGAGAACGTCAAAGAGCTTGAGACACATTTTTGCTTTTGTCTTTCTGCTGCTGACTGACCTCGTGGTGCTTTCATCTCCTCAGGTACCTTCTGTTTTACCACAAACAGTTCCTGGAGTACGAATAAGTCCCTGCATCAGCACGGCCTGCAGGATGAGCTGAGGGACGACGCAAGGATTTGTTTGTAACAGAGTGATGAGAAAGGCAAAGAAACACGTTGTCATTGGCAAGTCCCACCCTTACTACACACCAGTCTAGTTACTCTGTGTGACATGCAAGAAGGACACTGTCTGCTGTGCAGGAGAAATCCAACAAATCTGACTGGATGGGCCCTAAAGGAACTTTATGTACTTGAATTCAGGGGATGAAGAAGAAAGCAGCAAGTCCGTGTACAAGTCTGCTAAAGAAAAAAAAAGAAGAAGAAAAGAAAAGGAGTGCAGAGTCCTTCTACATTTTTGTTCTCTTATCAGACACAAATGCAAGAGAAGCTTCACTTGATCACAAATGCTGTCCTTCACCAATGTCTTGCTACATGCTTCTTGCACAGCTGCATATGTAGGGGAAGAAGCAGAGCAACAGCTTTACACAGAGCTACAAGGCTCTGTTGTGATATTGTTCTTTCCCCCTCTCTTCAAGGCAATCTTCCGGACACAAGCGCACTTGTCTAACACAGCTACGCTCCTCCAAAAGACCAAATATTTCAAGGGTGGAAGTTGTCTTCGTATGCTTTTTTTTTTTTTTTCCAGAGTGCAGCTACTGGGGAAGGGAAAAAAGACGTTAATCATAGTATTGTGTCTGAAGTTTATTCCATTTTTATTACTTGCGAGCTTGTAGTTATCGCTCAGAAACCATTTTCCCTGCGAAGGACATGAAGGATCTGTTATTTTCTGCCTGTCTCCTCGTCAAAAATGGGGAAATAGACAACACAGTAAATATATTTTTATACATACTGCAATTTAAAAACATTTGTTTGCAGTTTTGCGTTCTCCCTGGACTCTCACGTTGTTCATCTGCGTTACATTGTGCTGTCAATCTCATATATATCTTTTTTTTTTGTACACATGACTTTCATGACACTGCTGCTATAGGCTGCTTCTTTTTTTTGTTTTTGATTTCAGTCGTGTTCTCCACATTAATGGAACATTGTAATGATGCTGTTTCAGGTAAATGGCAAAAGAAAGAAAGTAAACAAAAAAGGAGAGTCTGTACAGTGGGTCACAGGCTCAGTCCTGCAGTGTTAACTGTCGGCCGCATGTTGCTCTAATTCAGTGTGTTTATATGTGTGTGAATGTGTGCACGTGAATATGCTCGAGAAAGAGGAGGATTAAAAAAAGAAGCAAAAGAAATCCATTAAAAAAACCTCAGCTTAGGTGCGTTTATATAAAATGTGTTATTGAGTGTAAAGAGACAAAAAAAGAGCGCGTATGTGTCCTGTTTGTATGCACGTGTGTCGTGCGCGTGCGTATGTAGCGTATGTTCATGTACTGAATCAGTACTTGCATTTAGCATGCCGTCTGAGCTGGGTATCACAGTTTGATAGGATTTTTTTTTTTTGTTCCACATGTTGATGACGTGTGTAAAAGTATATATGTACAGTTTGTATGTAGAAACAAAATGGTGAAACCTCAAAGTTGATTTGTTCTTCTATATTGCTGGATCCAGCCACGGGGTCATAATCAGAAAAAAAAAAAAAAAAAATTAAATATCTTGAGCCAGTCAGTCATTCCACAAAAACACATGTAACTGCTGCAAGAACTGGACACAGTGATGGAAAGACACTCAAATAAAGAAGAATCTATATCTGTAAAATCTTTGTGTGTTGCTTTTTGTCACTAATTATGTAAGATTATATTTATGTTTATTTTATTGTTTGTGTTGCTATATTTTAATGTTATATTGCTGATTGAAGGGTTTGAAAACTACTGTAAAAGATTCATGGTGACAACTAACATCAGCCCAAACACCTCATGCCAACTGTCAAGCAAGCAAGCACGGTGCTGGAGTGGTCATGCTTTTGGCTAGCTTTGCAACCACAGGACCCTACTGTGCATTCACGGAGTCAACTGTAAGTTTAAACGTTAGCTCGTCTGTGAAAACGGATAAAGCTATGTCCAAATTGGGTCATGCAACACGGAAGTGACAGAATGGCTGAAAAAGTTAAGAATCAAGGTGTTGCAATGGTATCAAGAAGGCGATAAAATTGTCTAATAAATGTTAATAGAAAACCAACAAAATATTTTCTTTTGGAGAAAGAAAGCAAATTATATAACTGACAAGTAAAAAAAACAAAACAAACACATCTTTAAATCAATGAAATTACAAATACTTTTTCCAGCTCTCATTGTTTTAATGTTTCTAAATTAAATCAGAGCGTTCTCATTCCCGACGCGTAACATACCATCGATTTGTCACGGCTCGAGGCGTGTCATAGTAACGGGAAAGGTACCCTTCCACATCCTTATGAAACACTCCAGATTCTTAATTGAAGCGAATGCACTTCCCTTTTTATTCGCTTCGTGGCTTTCTATTGCAGTCCTAACCTAACCTTAACCTTACATTTATAGGTTCATTCCAACCTGCTCTCATGCCTCAGAATGCGTAACATACAGACGAATTGTCACATATCGTTGGTATGTAACGTGTTGGTATAGCTCGTTTGCATCTGCCGTTTACAAGCTAAAGAGACCTTCACTTGCTTGACCTCTTAAAGTGTCGATTATATTTGTACCCTTTGGTATAAGGCTGTAACAGCAATTCATAGCAGAACAGTATGAAACTTTGCAAAGAAACCCACTGGGGGAAAGCAGAGTCACAAAGTCTCTTTCTGCATTGCTAAAAATATGCTCCATATCCGTTTTTCACAAAAGTCAAGTCAGGACCACCGTGTCCGAAAGTCAGACGCAGGAGCGGTGTACAGCAAGCGCTTCAAATTCTTATTAGAAGACCCAGAGCAGAGTAAATCCTCTGAAATGCTGTATAGCCGTTATGACACTACCCATAACCACATTATTATTCATCTTTGGCTCTCTTGCACAGCATGTGGGGTTTTTTGTTTTTTTTTCGGTCACCCATAAATGGTTACAGCAGATGGCCGCCCCTCCCTGAGCCTTGTTCTGCTGGAGGTTACATCCTGCTAAAAGGGAGTTTTTCCTTCCCACTGTCACCAAAACTCTTACTCACAGGGAGTCAAATTATTGGTGGGTTTTCTCTGTTTTCTTTGTATTATTGTAGGTTCTTTACCTTACAATAAAAAGTTCCTTGAGGCAACTGTTGCGATTTGGCACCATATAAATAAAACAAAAAAACCCTGAAAATTGAATTTGGACGCTGACTCACGTTGCCACTTGACATCCACAGTCATATTCAAAACTAGTCATGATGTCACAAAGTCACACTTGTAAGCTTGACTGGCAATATTTATTCATTGTAGCTATTTCAATATGCGGCCTGATGATTTACATTTACACATTCACAATGACATTAAGCAAAAGCAACATGACAGAAAACCTATAAGCATGTTTCATATGTGGAAATATGAAGTGAAGCATAAAGTTGTATTCATGTTCAAGTGTGTTATTTTCACACCACAGTCGAGGGAAACCTGAACATCCTTTGACTACGATGACCTGGATGACTGAGAACCTTCACAGACATCCTGCTGTTATTTCCCTTTAATTCCCGGTTTTCCCAATTGGGTCGATACATATAGAAAAAAAAACCATTCCCACCTGATCCCTTTAGAATCAGCTGGTTTTTTACAGCATAAAGATGACTAGTAGATAAGATGGCTTATCTACTATCAAAATGTAGATAATAATAAGACCTTTCATATCAATTTCATATTTGTTATATCATTTGACCCTTTAAAAAGTGCACTTTGGGTAAAATTGATTTGGTTTCATGTGCTTACTTATGAAGGTTTTTTATGAGGGTTTAAAACATGCTGGAAAAAGAACTGGAAACACAAATTTAAAGGCGACAAATTTCAACACACACGCACATGTGTATTTATATCCTTGTGGGGCATCTCATTGACGTAATGGTTTCTCTAACCCCTTACCCTAACCCTGACCATCAAAAATGAATGCCTTACCCTGACCCTAAACGTAACCATAACCTAATTGTAACCCCGACACTAAAACAACAATTTGAGTCTCAAAAAGCCTTCAAACTCATTGGGACCGAGATCGGTCCCCACAAGGGCTGTCGGTCCCCACAAGTATAGTAAACATCCAATGTTTGGTCCCCACAAAGATGGTAATACCTGTACACACACACACACACACACACACACACACACACACACACACACACACACACACACACACACACACACACACCATAAAAATCCTTAAAATCAGACAATTTTTCCAGCAAAGATATAATTACGGTTTTTGTATTAAAAGTGAGTGTGAAGGTTTCAGTATAAATTATGAGTGAAGGAACTGAGAGGTCAAAAACGGTTTGTGAACTGTTGTTATAAAGCTGGGAATTTTCACCCTCTCCATCTTTGTGTCTTGAGACTACGTTATCAGGGGAGGGACTGATCATTAACCAGTCATAACACTCTGGGTCTCTTTTCTGGCTCTCAGAATCACCAAATTTACATGAAATTGAGTTAATATTTGATTTCATAAGATCTGAAATGAGTGATGGAGCTATAGGATTTTCCGGAAAGTGTTAAACAAGTGCTTAAAAGAGTACAGTTAAGGTCAAGGCTGAGGGCTTGGTTTCGCCCCCTGGTGGTCAGTAAATTCAACCTAGACGCTATGTCCATATTATATTTATAGTGACGGACTGATTTGTCACATACTGTGATGGTGTTTGTAGCATTTCGTTTTTAGGGGTTTTTTTTGTTTTTTTGTTGTTGTTTTTTTACCCCCAACAAAATATCCAGTATATCGACAACCTTCTCTGATGGATCGGAGACACGGTAATTAATTCCAGTTCACTTGCACCACTAAACTCATCCCACTGCTGCCTCCTCCTGGACCTTCATGTCGTAGGTTCGGAAGCTCTGCTCCGTCCAGCAAGCCCCTCCGTTTTGGGTCTGGGCTCTTTGGAGGACAGCTTGCTGGTAGAGCACAGGAGGGTCTCTGAGCGTCCTGCTGTGAGCCGGGCCTCGCACGTTCATGTCGGGGAAGCAGTGGACACACACGCAGGTCTCTGTTGGCAGGGAGTCGTCTGATGGCTCGAGGTTAACGGGGCAGCTCGGAGACATTAGAATATCTATAAGTGAAGAAGGCAGACCCTCGTTAAACTGCTCAGCGTTTCCAATGGTTTTTTGGTTCATTCCAGACTAACCTTTGGAGCTTTTTCCAAGTTGCCCAGCTGGAATACCAGTCTCCTGTCCCAGCCTGGCCTCGCTCTCTTTCTTCTTCTTGGATTGACTGCCCTGTGTGGATCCTTGGTTAGAAGTTTTGGCCTTGCCTCCTCTAAGAAAGGCTACAAAGGCCAGAAACAAGCTAGAAAACAGCAGCGCCAGGCACACAGCCAGCAGGGAGTAGATGAGGATATCAGAGTCTTTCAGTGTGGAGGGTCCTGCGACAACTTCAGCTAGGAAAGAAGGAGGACAGATCTTTTGACTGAATGCTTCTAGATTCATATGTCAGGTATATAAGCTCTGAACAATGTTAGTCAATCAGAACAATTTGATAAAGTTTTGATATTTTCCAATACTTCCTTCTTTAAGGTTTAAAAACACAGAAAAACCCCATCAGGACAAAGGTCACCGAGGGGTCAGCACTCACTCTGGCAGTGTGGGGCGCATTCTGGAGGATGTGTGCCGCAGATCTCTTTACACTCTATACATTTGTTTAGCAGCTTATCGTAGTAGTGGCCAGGTTGAGTCTTACAATTTACAGCCTCTGATGCAGAAGGAGACAACGTGAGAGAAGAAGCAGAAGACATGTAAGAAACTGAACTGTGTGGGTTTAAGAGTATCTCTGCTGTTGCTATTACCTTCAGGAAGAAAGTCAAATATCAAAAATACATGTTACATCTATATGTCTTCAAGTTTGTGTGTAATTCTAGCTGGATTTTAAGTTGCAATCTTGGAAAAGTTGCATTAAAAAATGCCCCTGCATGTGTCTGTGAATGCATGTGTGTGCTCTCACCACAGAAACTTCTGCATCTGCTGATTACAAGTGATTTCTGACATGTCCCCAGACAGTCCATACACCCCACCAAA